TGCTGTTTACTTTTTCGCAGAAGAAAAAAACTGGTTATTCCACTGTCCGCCTCATACCTGTTCATCACGGCTTTATGAAATATATGTTATATTCCTAACCTGCCCCTGCCTTTATCCGCCATCTGAATGCACCTGTTGTCTGATGCAAAGATCAGTATTACTTAATTGTCAATTCCTGCTCTCTCTCTCGAAGCGAGAATATTTTTCTCGGAAGCTAGTGTGGAATTTGTAACTCACAATGAGTGTAATCACTATCACTGTGCTATCTCTCTCTCTTCCCCTCGGTTACCCTTTTCACTTGTCTCCCAGACTGAAAATTGCCTCCTGGCTGTCATTCCTTTCGGTTCGAGGCTAACAGAGATAGTATCTTGTCATTTCTCTCTCTCTCTCTCTCGCGCGCGCGCGGGTTCTAAAAACATTTTCAATAATTTAACCCTTTCTATCACTCTTATCTGATTCCAATTTACGTCCAGTTCATGTTGGACTAAGTGTCCTCATATGACTTGTTGACAAGCAATACGCTTGGTCATGCAAACGATAGAACTGTCATACACGTAGACAATGCTTGCAATACAGTTGCGCAGTCCCAATGATTGGTTTGCGCCCGTGTTTGTCTGTGTTTGTGCATGTATGTCTTCAATAACTGGTTTTTATCTGTTCCCCCAGCCGTATCTGATCGTCTTCCACTGTTTTCAAATTTGCCCTTTTTCTGACTCTTCCTATCCTTTCCCTTATTTACGAAGCTTTTGTTGCGTGTAGCAGATTGAACTGATGTTTGTTTTCATGTATACATATGTGTGTGTGTGAGTGTGTGTGTGTGTGCGTGCATGTAACACGCATGCGTTTATGTATGCACGCAAAATCAAGAAACATGAGCAAGGTAGTTCTCCGTTTGCAAATCACTGAGTGAAATTTCACTATTTTGGTGTCGGTGTACAATCTGATTCTTTCCGTGCTTATCTCGTTCAATCCGTGCCAGGGATGGAAAAGGAGGCAAATAGACCAACAGACAAGTAACAATCAATCAAACAAATAATCAAACGAACCACTCGTTCATTCACTCGCTTATTCATTTATCCAGTGAGTCAATCACTCACTAAATCAGGTGGAAAAGCGATGGAATAAAAACAGTCTTGCTTTGGCTGGCTAACTTCAAACCCCGTGAACGCACCATCGCAACTCAACCGTACACACGCACACACACAGAGAGAGAGAAACACACACAAATACATGCATGGGTACATCACTGCATCGGCTTCAGATGATACGACAACCAGTCTCTTTGTCTCTTACTATCTCTGCTCCTCATCTACATGGGCTAAGCACAATCAGAGTTATGCTTCCCAGGACGGTTAATCCACCCAAATGTTTCTCACGTTCACATGTGGTGTGGACCGGACACATTACGTCCCTCCTTCCTGCCTCCGCACACACTCCGCTCCGGTACAATAACACGTTCTTCTCAAATATATTTGATTTCTTCAAAGTGAACAATAGCAAACAAAAGTGTCCCGTTCCATGAATGACAGCTGATTGTCATCGACAGCATATTTATAAATTTTTGATAGAATGAATAGTGTCTATCCGTCAGTCTGTTTGTCTGCACGCAGTTTGTCCCCTTCTGTTTTCCAATGTTCTTCTACGTCTGTCAGAATCGTGTTAAGTACACATACAATGTTACTAGTCAGGATGCGTTTGCCTAGTTGATGCATACGCGATTGCCTCTTCTTCTATCAATGATTCTCACATTTTCACTTCCTATGGTTTTTGCTTCCGTTTTTGACCGATACCGTTGTCTTGAAATTACCTCCTTAACAATTCCGGTGAATTAGGAACCAGAAATGCACTCGGTTGGAAGCATTCACATAGCGTTACTTTGTTACTTAAGTCAATCTGTGAAACTCACTGGACAAGGCTGGTACGATCGATCACAAATTCTCAATAGAACTAATACCTCCTTCGTACATGAGGTGATCCATATCAAGTTCAATGGTGGGGTTTGTGTAACTTGTGTATGAAGACTTGAGGACGAATATCCATCGTCTTTCCTACTGGTAGGAATCTTATTAATTCACTCAGATTTGGCGTTAGTGTTGGAAATGTGTTTTGCACATCTGACATGTACTCATCACTAATCTGAATGACAAAAAAAGAATGGGTGTGTCAAATTTAGGTTTGTTCCACACAGCCTCTAGACATGGATTCCTCCATCACTATCTGTCAAGTTTCTCAATTTCGGATCTCTTTTAGTCCGGTATCGATTTTCAGTGTACCGGTACTTCGAGGATCATGAATTCCTGCTAAGATTCCAATTCGCCTGTTCGCCGAGCTTGGCAATTTGTTTGCAAACGTTTCATCACCAGCCGAGGTGACATCATCAGTGCTTGTGAAGTGGCCTGCTAAGATATCTGGAATAGCTACCGAGACCTGTTAACCTTATAGCGGAAAATCTGAAATTGAAAAAATATTAACCTAAGAATAAAGTAGCTTCACCAGTCTCGTTATCACACATCTGTTCAGTGGCCACGGTGATCACTTAGGCGCAGTTTGACACTTTCCCCCCGAAGGCATGATCCAATTCAATATGCTGTCCATGTTGTTACTGTGTCTTTTAGACACATACTGTTAAACCTCACCACGTGATCTATCAGACAACCAACTTACTGATTGAGTGTATATTTGTCAAATGAAAACAATCTGTCTGATCAACTTCCATCGTAGTTTAACTCTCATTTCGCAACTGATTGTATCACTTCTCCGTTATTGACGAAACATTAACCGGACTCAACCCGTATCCGGAAGCTCTGTTCATATGAGACTGTGAACTCTTCTCCGGTGGTCTGGACGCGGGACAACGCAGCTGTAAGTTTGTGTAAGCCAAGCAGTTTTTCGCGTCCACACGCAAAGTGTCGATCTTCCCGTCGAAATGAAAACATATCGCTCGCGCCGCCCTCACTAATGCGAATACAGACTGTCCCGTAATGATGGAAATTCGCACGATACCCGGGAATCTGTTTTGTAAACAGGTGTTCCTGAATCGTATAACTCTCCCTTTTTTTTCTCTCTCTCTCTCTCTCTCCTTATTCAAACTTTTAATTCGGACTCCTCTACTAGTTGCGTTTAAACACACACACACACACACACACAATGCGATCCCGGAAAATTCATTCAACCTGTTACTAGGCCAGATGGCTCCGTTTATTTTTCCATTAAAAACAGAGAAAGACCATCTGGTGGAGCATTTTTAGCACAAAACCTCATTCACACACACACACACACAACCCTTTAATGTCCCCTTTATCAATCAGTTCCACAAAGCGTTCTTTTGTGCTCCATGCCGCCCGGTTACTCATCGACTGCTCGCTGTTGTCCCATGCTCTAGTTCGACTCTCTGGGGTTCACCGCCTGTGCTGTAAATCACTTTATGTGTAGCACACAAGCTCAGTCATACTCAAGTTTGGTCACATTATGCGCTCTTTCTAGGTTGTTGTTGTTGCTGTTGTTTGTATCAGTTCGAACGGGTGAGGGTGATAGTATTTTTTCACACTCGACCACAATGCGAATCCAACTCCCTCGAACGCGGTCATGGCGGTGGTGATGATAATCCTCCGCACTCGATTCGGTCGAACCTGGCAGACAGCATCTTCGCATTTCTAATTACCCGTAAAAACCACAGAGTCACCATGTAAACTTCTGGCTACCAACACGATAAGCTAGGAATCGACTGATGAGACCCAGAGTACCCCCATTGTGAAGTTGTATAAGAATGAGCGACAGTAGCTTACCGAATTCCGGTGGACTTTAATGATGATTTGTTCTCAGCAAAATATGATGCTGATGGTCAGGCCGTAACCTGGCATAGAGGTATGAATAAGTTAGCCTCAACATTGGCTTCGATTGGTGCCGCTCGCGTTCTTGTCTGGGGCCTTAAAGGATGAGGATTGCCGATGATTAGACACGTTTAGAGATATGAATCGGAATAAATGGCGCGATTGCTGTGTGGTTTGTTTTCTAAGCCCTATTCCCTGCAACTGACAAAAATTCCAAAGTGTACGGTGAAACTATCAAAAAGTTATTCCTTCATCCATCCATTTGTTTTCTGTTTTTCTCAGTTTCATCTCATCTCTCTGTACCCCCTTCTTACCATTATTATCATTCTTTCTTGCGTTGGTACCATGTTTGTTCTCAAGCCTTAGTGGTGGTGATTAAGCCGGGTGGTTCAGCATCGCATCGCCTTGAGGCTTGTGTATTCAAAAACCCCATCATCACTGCTGCCCATTTGATTGGACGCTTTCCTTATCCTGATAGTCGATTGTGTCATTGTGTAATTATTTATGTTGAAAATGGAATTCAGTTTCATTGTCGAGAATCATGTGATCTGATCAACAGTTAAACAGATGTTGTGGTAGATACCAGTTTTATCGGGAGCTAAAATTCGTATGAATTACCCCTTTGCTTGCAGAAATCTGACATACAGACTCTCATTAGAAACCCCAGACGGATTCGAAAATAGAATACGCAACTCACATCAGTCGCTCTCTCAATTGAAAATTTCGTTTCTTAATTATTTTTTCCTTACCGCATCGCACGCACAGACGTACGTGTTTTGTCAAAATGTATCGATGCACGTCATGTATCGAACAGAATGTTTGCATTTGCACACTGGATTATCTTTTCCTGTAATCAAACTAGTCCAGATGAACTGGTTATTAATTTACTTTCGGTTACCACAAAAATAGCAGAATTTCTTCATTGTTAGCTTTTAAAACTCAAAATTAGCCCCATCGCGCTCCTTACAGGCAGTTGTGAACAGTAACGTTCATGTGAGGTTGTATTGTTCCTTGTCGTTCCGTTTTCTATGTCCCACATGCTGCTCTCATTGCTGTCCACTCGACTTCATACTCTCCTCATTTTCTGTTTCCCCCTCCCGGGATTTCAATCCCACGCTGGTGGCGCCCAAAGCTGAACTGCCCAAAGTGTGCAACGGTCACGGGGACTATATGGATGGATCGTGTCAATGCTATCCCGAGTGGAAGGGCCGTGAGTGTGAAATTTTGTGGTCTGAATGTGCGGATCCGACGTGCTCCGGTCATGGACAGTGTGTCACCGGCGAATGCCATTGTTACGACGGTTACGGTGGGGAATCATGCGAACAACGTGAGTGATGGTTCCGTCTGTCCCTGTCAGGGGGGGGGGGGNGAGGACGAGATGGATCGATATGGATCCGTGCGTATATCCGACTCTCATATATGAATGCATATATCCATCTCTCTCTCTCTCTCTCTCTACGATACATACTGATGCATACTGATGTAAATATGTTTATCTGTTTCTTCGTCGACAAATTTGAACGAACGTCAAACCATTGCGTTCATCCACACACCGCTATACATATATACATTAATTTATATGATCGATCATGTTGTTATTTAAATAAAATGCTTAGCTTTTTCTTTTTCCGTCCTAAATTATGGGCCTGTAGGACAGTCCTCTTTTTGTGGACAGAAATCCCCGAACAATTGTTTCGGAACTATGACCTATGTGAGAGAAATTTTGGAGACACGCACACACACACGAACTAAACAATAATGATTTATTGCTCTGGTGAGAATCGGATCGGTGAGGAAAAAACAACAACATAGAAAAGCGTTGATTCTGTTGCGAAGTTGTCAACCTACAGAATGATGGGGTGACCTGACGAAAGCGTGACTGCCATAGACGCCAGCTTTTTATGTCCAAGTATGCGGTGAGGGGCGGTGCGGGGGAGGGGGGGTACAAATCTAAGCTAAACTGAGAAGTACCGGAAAATCGAACGGGTTTTTTCCAGACAACCCAGTTTGAGGAATGTGTTATCCGTGTTCACCAGGACAAAGCAGCTTATTCGGGGATATTTTTGGTCAATTGTAACCATGCCCTACATATTGTGCTCCTCAAATATTTGACGCAGCATTCGGTAGATCAATCGCTTAACATCCGGATGGTTACCTTGTGAATTCTTTTTGTTGACACAAAAAGGATGAATACAATCAGATCTAGTGTCCCGGGTCATTGTTTTGTGAATCCATAATGGTACACACGTACGCAGTTGTGGTCCTTTTTCTACTCAGCTTCGAATGTCCCCACTGATAAGAATCATGTCTAATCCAGGTTTGATCAGTGAATGTACGGATATGTTTATATAGTGCATGTAACGTGGTGATGTGTTTATTAAAGTCTGCTATGTGACTGCACGTCAGTGATAGAACAATGTTTCACCTAGTGATACGAATCGAAATCGACGGCGTTATCTAACACAGTTTGAGCCGGGTGGATCAACCATTGAACAATCACGGGTGAACGTTTATTTTCCCCGACCATTAGGTGATCCAAAAACTCCCTACGTAACAGTAAAATAAGGTATTTGTCGGTTGTTTTGCTCATACTTCAACACGTTTTATGCTGCACTCATCGAAATAACCTGTGCAGTGCCCTAGAACGGGCCATACACATACATGGTAGGCAAATCACGACGATCGCCGTTATTTTGTTCATGTAGTCCTCCATTCCAGTTGAATTGGCTGTGACTTCACACAGACACACACATACACGAGCTGTTCGTTTGTACGGCGAATCAAGCGTCACGCCCAGGGATAATCCATCATCCTCCTCCCACGAACTATCACTCCGCTGCACTCATTGCAATTGGAACATTGCGCGACTGTGCTCTCGCCAAGGCATGTGTCCTAGACGTGACCCGGATATAGGACATTCTGAACCGGCCCTCATTGCTCACACGCACACGTGTGTGTGCACATGCACGCATCATTGCCTGCAAAAATAATACAGCCGTTACATCGAGCCGACAGTGGCCGTCGTTGTCGTCAACCTTACGGTACAATGATCGAACCTGCCTTAGTCGTGTCACTGTGTGTCACGTTGCTTGTTTGTGCTTGTGTGACAAAGTTGAATTGCGGTAGACCTGTACATCAAACACAGCGCTGCTGCCACCTCATCTGGCAAAAGGACTTTAGCAAGCAAATCCGGTGAATTAGCGAAAATTTAGAGCTTGCTGTTGCTGATTTTCGTACATGCATCAGCATGACAACTAGGTATGCCCGTCCAACCCTTTAGCAATCTGCGGTGAGTAGCTAAGGTATTAACAACCTTTTCTGTCAGGGAAGGTGTAAGAAGCCAGGATGGTACAGCATGAGTAATGATCAGCCCATGCGAATAGACAGGTCACTCCGAAATAGGCTCAATATTTCTGGAAGTGAACTTCCATGCCACTGTTTGCAGTATCGAATGAATTATCCACACAATGGTTCTCGTTACGGGACGTGATGATTTTGTCTTCAGTCCCGATATTCAAGCTCCCAACCAGGTGGACATCTTGTGTTCTGTATCATTGCCTGGAACACAGGGTTGATT